TGAAGGGAATTTAGTTAAGGTGTCAATATTTCTAGCGTTTGCCGTCCAAAGGTATCAAAGTGTCATAGCAAGTACACAAAAGACGATTAACGAATGCGTTGTCCTTTTATCTTGGAGCATGCATGGGCACTGTAGATGGTCTCTTACTGCTGGAATACGTCAACGTACGTACAGATCCTCGTGTTGTTTGTTATTATTGCATAAAAAAGGGAAGACTGTGTTTGTTTCTGCTGTGGCTAGCTTGAGGATGAATGGTATATATATCTAAACTTAGCGGAATTTTTCATATAATTTGACCGGGTCATGTGATCGTTTCATCGTAACGCTCGTCAACATAGTCGGTGTCTTGGTGACTCATAAATGGGCTTCGACATCCAACGAAAAATTCCTTAAGGACCCAAAATATGGGACCAATAGGGGGGACAAGTGAGGTGTCCCCCTCCTATTGGATAATGAGTTGGTCATCATTAATGATGGCCAACTCATTATCCAATAGGAGGGGGACACCTCACTTGTCCCACCTATTGGTCCCATATTTTGGGTCCCTGTAGCAAAGCTCGACATCCAACTCTTAACGATTGTCTCTTGCTTCGGATCTTAATTAACATAGAGCTATGGGTTAAGTCTAGTTTTGATGAGGACTTAATTCCGACGTTAGTTTTGAATTTTTCAATAAGACTAAACCAGACCTAGGATCAGCGATCTAGGCAGAGGCCGATCTACACATGATCCAGGGGTGCAGTTGCTCCCCTAAAATTTGTTATTAAAAAAAATTGCATCATTAACCCATTTAAAAGCACTAGTAGTGAAACCCGAAGCTATAGCCCATTTCGAAAGTAAGAGGCCATTATAATTTCCAGAAGTAAAATCAAAAAGGGCCCAAACTTGAAAAGCCCAACACTACAATGCTGGAAACCCAAAACCCAAAAATGAACACAAAATCCTAGCTCATGTCGTTGCACTTGCGCTAAACATCAGAAAACCTCTCGCAACTTTGGACGATTAGCCAACAAACCCCCATAACTTTAAAAATATTAGAAAACGCCCTTTAAGTTCAGGGTATTCAGAAAACTCCCTTTACTTAGGATTTTATCAGAAAACCCCTAAACTTAAGGTTGCTTTTTCATGCACGTGGGTGTTTCAACTTCAAGCTTACAATTTTTCACATAAATGGGTAAAATTATGTGACTGGATGTTTTGTTAGTGAAATTTATGGTTCACACTTTTATGGGGTTTTCTAATAAAATCTTAAAGTTAAAGAGTCTTTTTTATAACACCTAAACTTAAGGGAATTTTACTGATTTTTTTAAATTTATGGGAGGTTATATGATAATCATCTAAAGTGAAGAGGGTTTTCTGATATTAAGTCTTATATGTTTAATTTTAGATAAATAGATACTTATTATTTCTTGGATGGGCCACTGGTCTAGGAAAAACTAGTTAAAGAAAGAGAAACATATAGTAATATGGTTAATTGCATATTAGTCCCTTAAATCATCCATGACGCAAATTAGTCCTTTAAATCTCAGTATTTGCTTATCAGTCCATCAAATCTATAATTGCAAAGAGAGAGAAACATATAATGGAAAGAGTTCTAAAAGGGGTTAGTTGCAATTTCATTTTTCTGGTTTAGTAATGTTAGTTTTGAGGGGAGTACTCCGTCATCTTTAACGAGATAAGAAGGTTTACCCGTTGTACCCTCATTTAAAATTCACCAACCCATTTCTTAGCGATTTTAAACCCACAATCCCGTCTTAAAACCCAAGCAAAAGAAGTTCTTCTTCCTTTGCAGTCAAGGACACCCAACCCATTTTAGAACTCTTTCCATGATAATAATTCCTCTGTACCCTATATAATTGGGTTGATTTGAGAGTGAAACATATACTAAGAGGGATATTTAGGTAATTGCATATGTTGGGTTAAGGGCTAACCCAATCATGGCTAGAAAAAATAATAGGAAAGCTAATAAAGGGATGAAATTGTAAGAAAACTGTAGATTTGAGGGTCTAGTGAGCAAATACTAAGATTTAAGGGACTGCTTACGAATTATGGATATTTTTAGGGACTAATATGCAACTAATACATAATGATAAAACCCAATACTTTAGATATTGGAAAAGCGTGTTTCTGAGCTCTCCAAATTTACGCAAAATAATAATAATATTATTAAATCTTATAGAGCATTTTAAATATAATAAAATTATAGATAATGAATGAATACGCTAACTTTAACACAAATCTGATACACATATCTGTTAGTGGTCAACATAGTTGTTGCCGGTACCAATTGGTAGTTTGACAATACTAATAGCTCATAGTAATATGTACATCAAGATTTACAATAATCTATATATATTCATCCCCTATTGCATGATTTTTGACTCTTTAAGATCTTTTTTCCCCCAAAAGTTTACTAGTCAAGCATGAAAAAAATTCACCTCTTCTAAAGCTTTACTCGCTCCTCTTCTCCATGTCTCTTGTTAACCCAAAATTTCAATTTATTTAGCATCACCCTTTTTCTATCTTTTGGATGTTTAGGGGAAAAAAAAACAAAGTGGCTAAAGATGCATATCTATTACATAAGGTCCCCCTATCCCCGCCCCCTTTAAAAAAAATTCTTTTTTTAGGTTTTATTTTGTAGGGGTGAAAACGAACCAAATATTTAATTAACAATTCGGTTAATATTTGTCCAGATATTCGGTTTATTTAATCCGACAGTTCATTTAATACTAAATGAATATTTTTTAGTATTGGACTTATAAACAAATAGAATTTAACTATAAATGTATTCGATTCGGCTGATTATTAACTATTCGATAACCTTTTTATGTTAATCCTATTAATTAAACTTGTTGCAAATATACCCATCAAAATTTGCCTTACAACTTCTACCCCATAAATAAATAGACATGTCAGAGGAGCTAGGTTTTCACCATCGCTTCCACTTTCCGCCTCCAAGTCCAACCGAGTACCTATTTCTCTCTCTCAGCCGACGACTCTCTCTTCCCCGCCGACGCCGTACTCCCTCCCCGCGACGACGCCGTACTCCCTCCCCGCGACGACGCCGTACTCCCTCCCCGCGACGACGCCCTCCTCCTTCCCCGCGACGACTCTCTCTTCCCTCTCCGAGGACCTGCCATCCTCTCTCTCTCCGACGCCCTCCTCCCGCGACGACGCCGTCGTCCCTCCCCGCGGCGACGCCCACCGGTAAAAGTTCCAGCCTCGATTTCCCTTTTTGTATTTAGAAACAAAAATTGTTAATCGAATGCTGTTAATCGAATAGTTACCGAACAGATATCGAATAGTTGATGAATAACTTGATATCAAAACATGAAATATTGTTAATCGAATGTTCGCGAATAGTTACCGAACAGGTACACAACTAAAGGAAGCGAATTCGATTTCTGAATATTATTCAAGTCGAATTCGAACACGGATACGAATAGTGTCATTTGAGCCAAATTCGAATTCGAATAAGGCACTATTCGTTCAAATTCGATTCGTTTCCACCCCTACAGTAAACATCAGAAAACCTCTCGCATCTTTGGACGATTAGAAGACAAACCCCCATAACTTTAAAAATATCAGAAAACACCCTTTAAGTTTAGGGTATTCAGAAAACTCCCTTTAACTTTGGATTTTATCAGAAAACCCCTAAACTTAAGGTTGTAATTTCATGCACGTGGGTGTTTTAACTTCAAGATTACAACTTTTCACATAAATGGGTAAAATTATGTGACGGGATGTTTTGTTAGTGAAATTTATGGTTCACACTTTTATGGGGTTTTCTAATAAAATCTTGAAGTTAAAGGGTCTTTTTTATAACCCCTAAACTTAAGGGAATTTTACTTTTTTTTTAATTTATGGGAGGTTATATGATAATCATCTAAAGTGAAGAGGGTTTTCTGATATTAAGTCTTATATGTTTAATTTTAGATAAATAGCTACTTATCATTTCTTGGATCGGCCACTGGTCTAGGAAAACCTAGTTAAAGAGAGAGAAACATATAATAATATGGTTAGTTGCATATTAGTCCCTTAAATCATCCATGATGCAAATTAGTCCTTTAAATCTCAGTATTTGCTTATCAGTCCATCAAATCTATAATTGCAAAGAGAGAGAGAAACATATAATGGAAAGAATTCTAAAAGGGGTTAGTTGCAATTTCATTTCTCTGGTTTAGTAATGTCGGTTTTGAGGGGAGTACTCCGTCATCTTTAACGAGATGAGAAGGTTTACCCGTTGTACCATCATTTAAAATTCACCAACCCATTTCTTAGCGATTTTAAACCCACAATCCCGTCCTAAAATCCAAGCAAAAAAAGTTCTTCCTTTACAGTCAAGGACACCCAACCCATTTTAGAACTCTTTCCATGATAATAATTCCTCTGTGTCCTATATAATTGGGTTGCTTTGAGAGTGAAACATATACTAGAGGGATATTTAGGTAATTGCATATGTTGGGTTAATGGCTAACCCAATCATGGTTAGAAAAATAATAGGAAAGCTAATAAAGGGATGAAATTGCAAGAAAACTGTTGATTTGAGGGTCTAGTGAGCAAATACTGAGATTTAAGGGAATAACTACGAATTATGGATAATTTTAGGGACTAATATGCAACTAACACATAATGATAAAACCCAATATTTTAGATAAGGGAAAAGCGTGTTTCTGAGCTCTCCAATTTACGCAATAATAATAATAATAATAAATCTTATAGACATTTCAAATATAATAAAATTATAGATAATGAATGAATACACCTACTTTAACACAAATTTGATACACATATCTGTTAGTGGTCAACATAGTTGTTACCGGTACCAATTGACAGTTTGACAACACTAATAGCTCATAGTAATATGTCCATCAAGATTTACGATAATCTATATGTATTCATCCCCTGCTGCATGATTTTTGACTCTTTAAGATCTTTTTCCCCCCAAAGTTTACTAGTATGAAAAAAATTCACCTCTTCTAAAGATTTACTCTCCTCTTCTACATGTCTCTTGTTAACCCAAAATTTCAATTTATTTAGCATCACCTTTTTTCTATCTTTTGGATGTTTAGGAAAAAAAACAAAGCGGGTAAAGATGCATATCTATAACATAAGGTCCTCCATATCCCCGCCCCCTTCAAAAAAATAATTTTCTTTTTTTTTTGAGGTCTTATTTTGTAGGCGCCCAAGTTGGAATCTTGTCAATGATATATGTTCTCTATATAATTCAGAATCAGAAAAAGAAAATTATATATGATAAGACAAATCAACGCATGTTACTTATGTAATATATTTTGTTTTTGTCCCTAACCTCTAGTAATTGGCAATTGCCAAAAGACACCTTAACGGGTCGGATTTGGGTATTAAGTTAGAATTGCTCCGAAAACCCGCTAGCTAAAACCCCTATCGAATTCCCAGGGGTTTCACCGTTTCAGCTCCAAGGCCCGCCTCGTTTTCGCCAGCAGACGCTCCCCAGCTTTCTGCCGCCAGAATCCGTCAGCTCCAAGGCCCGCCTCGTTTTCGCCAGCAGACGCTCCCCAGCTTTCTGCCGCCAGAATCCGGCGACGATCTTCACTCTTTTAGATTCCGGTGAGCTCAGATCTCTTTCTTTTAGGTGAGAAATCTCTTTTTCTTTTCACCCGTACATTCTTTTTAATTCCATTTTCGAGTTTGATTTCTTCTGCAAATGTTGATTCTTGTGATATTTGGAAATAATATTTAAGCAGATCAAGTGCCTTTCGAATTTGATGTCTAAAGAAATGAATTTGTGAATATTTTGGGAATTTCAGGTTAAAAAAGAGAAGTGAAAATGAATAAGGACAAGATATTTAAGTTGGCAAAGGGATTTCCTGACGGGAGGGCGAGAATTGCATAAGAATAAGCGGAGGGAAAGAGCTGGGAAAGAGCTTCATCTATCTAACAGGGAATGCGCCGATACAAGAAAGAGGGACATGAGATCTCTGTGGATCGAGAGAATCAATGCCGGTACCCGTCTCCATGGGGTACGCCTGCTTCCTCACTTTTCCTTGTATAATTGTATTCCTTTATGAATGAAGGTAGAAGAAATGCAGAATCTTTGTTGTTGATGGTTTACTGTATACTCTTTTTCCCGAAAAATATGAGCAGGAAGCAACTAGAACAAAATATAAGATTAACATGATATTTATTAGTATTCCGCAAATACAAACTACACAAGATAGCATGAACTTGCAAATTAACAAATATGCAACCTACAACTATGAGTCTCTTAATGAAAGAACAACGCTTTTGCAAGTGCTATTGATAGATTGAGACAAGAAATGGCAAATTGATGATGTTGCACGTAATTTGTAGTGTTGGGATAAGCTACGTGGACAATCAACACCAAGGGGGTTAATAAAACCCCCAATATGCAGGTATTGGGAAAGAAATTTCATTTGTTAAACAAATAATCACTCCAACGTTATGATTTATGGATTTTACGAGGAAAGTACAATGTATAAATTTATCAAGAAATCTAATGGATTCTGAATCCCAGTGTCAGCTTTATTTGAAGACTTCATGACTTGTTTTTTAAAGTTGTAGTGAATGAGGGGAAAATATCTTCTTTTGTTCTCTTTGTAACTGTGGAAAGGTAGACTATTTGAAGGGATTAATATTCAATGCCTCTATGATTCTGAGGAGAATAAAGAAGTGGATAAAAGAAGGCAAATTAAGTTATTTAACCAAAAAACTTGGTCTCAACATTGATTCCGGTATTATTTGGAACAAAAAGTTGGAAATATGACCTTTTGAAAAATGAAAAGCTTTTAATTTTTAAGAAAAAACCAAATAAATGTCAATTGATATTCTTATATATGTTTATAAGGCTTGGCCATGATAGCGAAACTCCATGTCCAACACAATTTGTCCCCAACTCTTCGATGTTTTCTTCTATTGTTCTTTTGATATTAATCTGACCCGTGGTATTTTGTACAACTATCTAGAGATTCTGCAATCACTCAGTGCAGTATTTCAGGTGCAATTGTGCTATGGCGCTTGTGCTCTGAAGTGATTAGTTGGTTGTCTGCATGTATAGTGTGATTGTGGTTGTTTTCCATGACCCGCAGTCTATATGCCTTCATATATATATACTAGTCCTGGCAGCTTATTTCTATGCTACCTGATTGTTGGGCTTATGGTGTTTGTTTGTAAGAAACAATGCAGTGATGCACATAGGAAGTGGGATTTTTAGTAGTGCAAGTGGATTTCTCTTTCCGGTATGCAACATGTTAGCCATCACTACTGATGATGTGAACTAGAATTTGGGAGGTCAGGGGTGGGAAGGAGGCAGTTACAGCTAGGGTTCAAAGGCAGCTTTGTTGGGGATGGTAGACATTTACAAGTAGAAGTGTCATTTCACTATGCTTCAGTAGAAGAAGAGTGGTTGTTGCTTGGATTGTTAAAGTTAGCAATTCAAGGGTAGGATGAGGAAACTGCAGAGCTTGCTTCTAATAAACATAGGCTGATGCAGGATGGCAGCATGCAAGTTCTAAACTGAAGCAATATGCCAGCTAATAGCTACATGATTTCTAGTCTATATGCTTAATGTCATACAGGTTTATTAGCCATACTGTGCACATCTCTTAAGCGTTGGTCATACAACTTTTGGAGACTAATGGCATATTTCAAAGAAACAACATATACAAAGACAAATGCATGTGAAATGAGAATGCTGAGATAAATTTCTGACGATGTGCAAACAGATAGGATTGGAGATGAGTACATCTACAAATAATTAGAGGTTGCTTATCTTGCAGTTCAAATGAGAGAATTAATTGAGAGTTTGAGCATGCGGCAACATTCTCTATTACATGCACCGATTAGAATAAACTAGCATTGTGATAATTGAGCAGGAGATGGACTTAGGACCCATTTGGATGACAAGAAGTATTTGAAGTAAGAAGTACATCAAATGAGTAAATTCTAAAATTATGAAGTAGGAAGTATTGGAAGTAATACTTCTCTTTGTTTGTTTCACATATTTTTGGGAGTAATGAAAATAGTACTTTCATTTACATTCATTTTTTTTTATTGGAAAGCAATTGAAATTGTTAGGGAGTCCTGAATACACATTATATTTTTCAAAAAAAAAAGGTATAACCATAATGAGGATATCTCCCTTCATTATACTTTGAGCAACACTGACACTCTTAACAAATATTATAGCATTTTATATTAAATTATGTCAATTTATAATATTTTATAGCACATTAACATGAATTTTTTATTAAAATCAGCATGAATGTTTTTAGTGTATGAAGGATTTTAGAAGCGCGCGTTTTCGAAATAAATTAAGGCGAAAGATTAGGGCTAAATAAAAAAATCCTTGCTATGAATATGATTTTTTTTACTTTAGAGGTGTTATGTGCAAAAATGGCTAATGTAAAGTTGTAAACCATTGAATAGGTAGCGCCACTATAAATTAAGGAATTCCTCATCACACAGTCCACTATAAATCAAGGATTTTAGAAGTGTGCGTCTTCGAAATAAATTAAGGCAAAAGAATAGGGCTAAATAAAAAAAATCCTTGCTATGAATATGATTTTTTTTACTTTAGAGGTGTTATGTGCAAAAATGGCTAACGTAAAGTTGTAAACCATTGAATAGGTAGCGCCACTATAAATTAAGGAATTCCTGATCACACAGTCCTCCCGTTCATATGTGGACCCTACTGTATTTTCATCTACTTCTGAAGCATTTCCAATCCTAAGGGGCTGAAAGAAACTTAGGAAATGATGTGACATGTTGGCACTACATCAGCAATTGAGGAAGCATAAGTAATTTTTCCTAAGAAACAAACATGTTTTTTCCCTTAAAAGTAGTAAAAGTAGCATTTCCATCATTTATTTCAGCTACTTCATAGCTACTTCTGTGCAAACAAACTAGCCCTTAAATGAAGTGGAAATCAATTGACACAATTGAAATTGATGCAATAGGTATAAGTTCAACAAATGACACTTAATAGAGCTAAATGAAATATAATGCTTGTACCTAACCTAGAACAATTGGGATACATCGTTATTGTTGTTGTTGCTCTCTTAATTTCCATTGGTTTTTTGCACTCTAGCATGTGGCCCAGATATATGTATATCATATAGGAGATGTGCCATTAGTGAGTGACTAGATGAACTACTTCCATTAGTATTTGTTATACCACATAGGTATATAACAAAATGCTTTCGGCTAATGTTTGTATTATGTAAATTGGAGATGGAGGAGGACACAAGAAAGCCTGATAGTTGTATCTACAAAATTATGGGCATAATTGTGAAGGTGTTGCAGGAATCAATTGTCAGGTATATCACTCTCATTAGATCATAATATCGGAGCACTAAGATATAAGTGGAAGAATAGTAATCCTAGTGGTGCAATAGTTCTATGGGTATAATACTAACTAGATTCTATGTTACATGAGTACTTCTAATCTGAAGCTGTACCCGTACCCAACACGTACTTGTACTCGTATCCGTACCCAAACCCCTTGGACACTCCTTGCATATATGCATCCATTTATTTGGGCATATACTCAATGATATATAGTACATGTTTTAATGTAAAACATGTCATACATTTCCTAGACATATATCTTACATTTCACACTCATTTCTTGAAAACTTGTTGGACATAGGTCAAGTTCTGAACTATGATTTTGAAGAGTTGTTTGGATGTCTAGTTCAAATAACTAGTGATTTTTTAATTTATAATCCACATAATAAAAGAAACATGAAAATGTTACAGAAATTTCAATTCTCATTCTTGTTCTCATATAGATTATTATTCCAGTATATAATATATGTGTATATAAGTAGTAGTATTGTCGTGTCCCTGTACTCTAGCTTTTATAAAATTGCTATGCCCCGTACTTGTACTGGCATCCGTACTCGTACTTGTATTCATGCAACATAGATGAGACTAGAAACTCTAACCACTTTTGTACTACTAAAAACAAAATTGTAAGGGAATTGCTCTCAAAATTTATGAGTTACTTTTTATCTCTTGTAGTAGTATAGTACAAAAGAACTTTGGAGTTTGTAGTCTAATTATCACTATTCTTTTTTCTTTTCCCCCTGTAGGCTTCCCTTCACTAAGGCCACAATAATTTAAGATGGAATCGTGTTCATATCAAGCATTCACATTCTGTTTGTAATATATAAGTATCAGGATACAAGAGCACTCAATTCTAGTTGTGGTTGCTTTCTCTTTTCCATTTTCCCCTTGAAGGTTTCAATTTTGTCGATAGAGAGGACCAATATGTGTTGTTCATTGCATTCTAGTGTCATAAGAAGATGTACTAACCACCTCCCTCCCTTGCATTCTAGTGTCATAAGAAGATATACTCATTCTCTCTCTCTCTCTCTCTCCTGATTCCTTCTTTTCATAGAAGGGGAAAAATACACTTCTCTAGGAAATATGTTAGCCTTTTGGGATGAAGTTTCTGTTTGCACTTCTAAAGCTTTAACCAAGGGGAAGCTAATATTTTATGCACTAATGTAATGACATTTGGTATGTGCCATATTGTATACCATACGACAAGGATATGAATCATAGAAACAAAGTGAAGATTTGGTAGCAGGTAGTTTTGTAAATAATGGCAAATATTTGTGCAGTAATAGTGGCCTATGCCCACACTGCTATCGTCAAAAGGAGTGATTTTTAGCGGCATCGATTCTATTAGCTTGAAATAGCGGTCAGTGTAAAAGCGTTGAAAAATGCTTCAAAGCGTTTTGCAGGGCTATACAGTGCTTGCAAATACAAATTATTGGCTTCATACCCGACCCGAACTCAACCAAAATTCTTGAAGTACATGGGTTTTTCGTACCCGACCTGAACCAGACCCTTTTTTTTAAATTAAAATCCATTTCTTTTCCAGATCCCCTCTCTCCGCTGTTCGAACCTAAGAAAAATATAATCCAAAATTGCAGCCACCGCCTCTCGTCATCGAAGATCATTGGAGCTCCATCACCGCCTCTCGCTGTTGAAGCTCCACTGCTTTTCGTTGTTGAAGCTCCATTGCCTCTCATCAACCTCTCGTCATCAGAACTCGACCTTTCGTCGTTGAAGCTCCACCTCCTTTCTGTTCTTTTTTTAGTTATTACGACGCTTTCTTCTCTGGCTTCTCCTGAAGCTTCTCTGTCTCCCCTAATTCCGCCTCCACATCTTTAAACTGGACTACTTTTTGACTTTGAGCTTTTTTCCGCTAAAGCCCTAAATAGTATTTAGTGGTTCCTCACTGCTTCGCTACATTTCCCGCTTTCCACAACGGCACAACCTTGGTAGCAGGTCCTAAGGCTAAGGCAATAGTATACTAACGCAGTTATTTCTTTTATTACGTAGTAGTCTTTTTTGTTCTTAACTTTCCCAGCGAACTTTGTTTTATCTCCTTCCTGCACTGGGTGATGTGTTTTTGTGTCATCAGGAGTAAACCGCAATCATGGTTTTCTCGTGTATCTTGCCATCTGATGACTGCTTCATTTGGATTAAAAACTGAGAGCAGTTTTTGGATTCCAGATCGGAATTATAATCCTCTAGCGTATGAAATTCAATGTAGAGGACTACCCAACACTCAGATCGATCTCTCCACTTTACGACTAGAAACTTTACAAGTCTAATATTTACTAAATTTTCATGCATATGTCCTGTTTTTTTAAACTAATTAAATAGATTAATGTTGGCTACAGTTTCTGGCTTTGACCGCTGTGAGGAGATGCCATATGCCTGAACCTCTTAAATAATTTTAAATCATTTTTCTAGAAATATTTATGTTTTCTTTTGTAGATTCTAATATGAGAGTTCTTAATTCTCCCTCTTTTTGTCAGGCTTAATTAGCTGCTGATTGCATGTTGAACATATTAACTCGTTGCAATAAGCTAGGCTGTTTTCTAATTCGTATTGCATTTGAGAAATAACACTTTTTTTGTTCTTTTTTTTTTCCAGGTGAACTATGGTAACTTCATGCATGGATTGATGAAGGAGAACATCCAGCTGAACAGGAAAGTACTCTCAGAGCTGTCAATGCACGAGCCCTACAGCTTCAAAGCACTTGTAGACGTCTCTCGCAATACTTTCCCTGGAAACAAGCCTGCTCCCAAAAAAGAAGGCGTTTCGATTGAAGCTTGAGGTCCTACTCGCTAGACTCGCCATAAGTTCATCAGTTATAGATGTTTTAGTGTGTTACATTTTGATATCGATGTTGTTTCGTAATACAAACTAGATGTTTTTGGGAGCTGCACCCAAAACCAGTGGTTGATTCTGTTGGTGATCTGAAGTGATCGTCTCATAATTCATGCGGACAGCCTGTACTAGCTTTCCTCAGTGACTGTATTCCCTCAGTGTTTTGATCCTCCCTAGTGCTGAATCTTTGGGCACCGACTCTACTTTAACTTGGCCCATTTCGCAATAACGCAGACAATTTCTCTTTAGCACACGCATCATCCTCAGAAATTGAAACTATTATCAGATTTCACAATTTTATTGTTCATAAGCTTCCAAAATGAATTAAATTAGGCCAGGGGTATTGACCGCTTCTGAGCTTTGTGTTTTGATCTTGAAGGTTTGCATTGAGCTAGCTCGATATGAATCTGGCCTTCAGCAGTAGCCACCAACTCTGGTTAGGATAACAATTTCATTCGCCCGCTTCAGAAACAAATTAGATAGACTTATGGAAAAAAGAAAATTGATCACATAGCATGCGATACAACTATTAATTGCACGCCGCCGTATTATTTGATTGATATTTAGGGGCTGTTTGGTTGTTTTCTTTTGCCCCTGATTCCCTGCCAAAACTGACAGCTTACAGTTTTGACAAGAAAGCTGTCAAAACTGACAACAAGCTGTCAGTTTTGATAGGGAATCAGGGGCAAAAGAAGCAAAACAAACAGCCCCTTATTCTCTGCAATTAACAGTTGCAGTCGCAATTTACAACTTGCATAAATGTAAATCATAAATCACACTTGCAGTCAAAATCAAATGCGATATCTGGTTTAACTCGCAACTTCAGCTGCGACACCCCTCCTCGCCAAATTAAAGTGAGAATCGTTGCCCCGGAAAAGGAAATAAATACTGTTTAACATGTTTATTATCAACGGATGCGCATGTTACAAATATTTTGAAGCGTCGTATGCAAGCGTTTGCATCAAAAACTTCAACATTCTTTTCCATTAAAAAGAACTTCAATTTTCTTGAATAAAATGGAGCAACTCAATTTAACGGCTCAAATTCTTCTTCGTCCATTTTACTACGTGTGATAATGGCATATCACACGCGAGAATATGTTCAATAAAAACTTGGTAATTGCGAGCGGAAACAAACACTCATGACCGCAACAACAACGAACAAGTTACGTAAGTTCAAAATTAAAATCAAACATATAGATTCAAGCTGCATGCATGCGCTACAGTGTTAGCAGCTGCGTGTGGCCAGACAACTCCTAACTCTAATAGTCTAATGTAAGAGCATCCAAATTTGACCAACAAAACAAATAAGTAACATAAATTATGTGCAAAAAGGGAGAGGCTTGGCTAAAACATTCCATCACTTGGTCGAGTCTCAAAGTAGTAAAAAGCGGCTATCATAATGTTGGTCACTCTTTAAGTGTAGTTCGCTATCATACGATCTTAATCAAGATGAGTTCCTTAAACTATAGGCGGCTACTTCTAGGTTCAAAGATGGTCATGTATTATATGTGCCAGAAGATTCTTAAGGAATATTAATAATAATAAATCAAGGAACAGATTAGATTTGGGATCTTGACAAGTGACAGCAAGGATATGATAACTCCAAATTGATGGATTTGGTAGCTATAATGGCTCCAAATTAGGTAGCTTTACGTAAACGTAATAGACTTTTGAGGCTAAAATTTGATATCCTTTTGGAATTCTAGCTACTAAAAGTGCTCTTTTTTTCAAATGAAGAATATGGAGAAGTGGTGAAAAGGAAGTGAGAGGAACCAATTTATGCACCTTTAGAGCACGAGTTGCTCTGCACCTCTACTTGCTAAAGATGAAACAAAACAAAAGGCAAATGTAATCATTACGGTTAATTGCACTAAGAGTGGCACTACAGGCACACCTTGTGCCACACCCTCAGCCACACTCCCCTCTCTCTGCTACAGTAACCGGGCCCACATGAGATTTATAAATAAATCTCATGTGGGCCCGGTTACTGTAGCAGAGAGAGGGGAGTGTGGCTGAGGGTGTGGCACAAGGTGTGCCTGTATCATTTTTGTTGCACTAAACCCCGGGCTCCGTGTGACAAAAGGTTAAGTGAGGAGTTAATAAGAGTTAATCTTTTCTTAGCGGGCTAAATATAAAAAATTTACACGGGTTGTAAAATAAATTAACCTTTCATAATTTGCTAAACATAAAAAATAATAGAAGGGCGTACAAATCCCTTTAGAGAGAGGTTAAGACGAGTAAACCCTTGGAAAAGAGTTGGTTTAGAAATCTAGGTATTTAAATGGATTAAGAGATAACCCCTCTATTTATAAAGAAATTTGTCATCATCCAGAAAATGAACACAATTGTTAGAATAAACTAACGTGACAAATTAAAAATATTAATCCTTCGGATTAACATATGGGCTAACTATATTAACTCTTCTTCTTAATCTCTCCTCTTAATCCTTTGCCAAATAAGGCCTCCAAGAACTTTCGCCGTTTTGCTGTAAACTGCTGTAAACTCCTAAAAACTTCTGTAATCTTACGAAACCCCCCAATAGCTATCGAAATTACAGAAAATCGACAATAAGTTTCCAAGTTTTGCAGATAAATCTCGATGATGGCCTTAATCTACTTTTAGGATCTAAAATGTATCGCCAAGGCAAAATGTGGACTTTGGCCGTCATGGCGGTTATCTACAAAATGCAGAAGCTTATTAGGGGTTTCTACAATTCTAATATTTATTGGGGCTATAGTGCAATTTTAGAAGTTTTTCGGTGTTCACCGCAAAACGCTGAAAGTTCTTGGGGGTTTAGTGTAATTTAACCAACTCTGATTGCAAATGGTATATTCGTATGAAATTACTCTTCTGTTTAATAAAGGTTTCTCTTTGTATAGAGATGGGTTTGATGGCTGCACTTCAGAATTAGGCAATATCTAAGTTATTCAATGATTTAGGAGGATAGCATTCTTTAAATAAAGATTAAAGCTAAAGGCCAACTGTTACGTCAAGATCTTTCTTTGTAATTGAGGCATGTGAATTAAAGCATCCAACAATGATTTCTTCACCTAAGCCAGTAAAACTTGTCTATAAACATCACTTGATTCATGAACCACCTATGCGTAGTACAAAATGAAAGCACCAAGAACCGCAATTTTAACCTCTAGCACCAAAAATAGCCACACACTATCATAGGTAGCACATGGTTATAAGTACTACACAAACTCCATTATTGCTCTTCTTTCCTCTCTCTCACAATGTGAGGACAATCCACCAAAGCCAAGCTCTACCATGGAAAGGGGAGGGGACTGAAAGTGAAAGAAACAACACTTGTCACTCGTTCACATAATGGAATTGTGTAGAAGATGGGTCCTCAACTGAAAATAGGGTCCTCAAATTCTCAAAATGAATGTGGGTGTCCTCAACTGAAAAAAATGTGTGTTCCTAAGTGGAACTTTGGGGATTGAGGGATGAGGTGGACCATGAAAAGTGAAACAAGGGGCACCTTTGACTGGACCCACTCGTAGCACTTTTGGAATCATTGGAGCCACAAGATTCCTAGGGCTAAGAGATGGGCCACAGATGGGTCCTGTGGTCTAGATGGGCCGTAGGAGTTTCTTTAAGGAAAATGATTTAAGGACCCAAAATATGGGACCAATGGATGGGACAGGTGATATGTTCCCTCCCTATTACATAATGAGTTGGCATGACCAACTCATTATGCAATAGGGAGGGGACACCTCACATGTCCCCTCTCTTGGTCCCATATTTTGGGTCCCCGTAGCAGCACTCTTTCTTTAATGTTCTTTCTGTCGTCTTTAATTAATGCTTGTTTCGTCGTCACCCTTTTTTTTTTTTTTTCCATTGGTGACGCGAGTTTCATCATTGAATGCCAAGCCCTCTCACGTGGAAATTATGAAGAGGAGTGCACTTAGGAAGGTACTTTTTAGAATGGTCATGAACGTTTGAAGGAGGATGGACGTTACTATGTGTGCTTGATGATTTTCTAGCACATTTACCTTATAAAAATGTCTACTCTTCGAATTTTTGAATAAACATTTATAACTTGGTGAATAACAAGGTGGATTGAACTTGCTTGTGAGTGATCTCTTGGCGATCCGCTTAATTAACTGAGTTCAGTATAACGGCGGATCTTGGATTTTCGAGAAATAGTATCATTATATAATTAGTAATTATAAAAAGAAAATTATGGATATTTGGTGTCATCTCATTTTACTAAATGAGCTATTAAGAAATAGCCATGCGTTGAGACCTGTTTTACTTGTCACGTCTAAAAGTGAAGATATCACCAATCTATTCCTTGATAATTCATCTCGCTGAATGAGTCATCACCTCGTAACTTAAAATTTTACAAGCATGTT